TCTCAAGAAAGATGTGTAACCACATTCTTAATCGAAACAGACTGTTGAAATGAGTCATAAAAACTCATATAACGTTATAAGAAAATATTAGTTATGTCTCACATCTTGATTTTAATTAAATAAAATATTTGTTAGAATAATTTGGTAAAGGTGTATCACTACATCCTTAAATTTCTTTAAAGTATTTCAAAAAGATGTGTAACCATATTCTTAATTGAAACTATTTTTATGGTCTAAATTTGCCTAACATTAACACTATGAACATTTATTATGTAAGAGACATCCGCATATTCCTAAGAAAATGTACATATACTATAAACACTAAATCAATAAATGATAATATCCTAACTAGATTTGTAATATTTTTTAATGAACAAATTCAACACAAAAATAAAACAAAAGCATACGTCAAAGATATAGTATGCCGTCACAATGAACTAACAAATAATAATAAAAAATTAACATACAATGAGTTATTCTTATAATAGTTGTCAATATACTAGATTAAGAATATTTCCTTAAATATGAAAATAAATAATTTCAACATTCTAAAGATCTTCATTGTTAGCGATATGTAAGATTTAAATAATTATATTTCAACATTATAATATAAAAATTAAACACACATAAAATTCGAGCAACTTCATATCATATTAGAATCAAATATTATATAATCATGAAATCAAACTATACAATAAAAATTAAACAATACCTCTTGCGAAAATTCAATTCACAAAAAAAAGAAGCAATCCTAATAAGGAACCATGAACTCGAAACCATGAAAGTGAACCTCGACCTCAACTTTTGTTTGTGAGTGAAAGAAAAAATATAAATAAAATATGAGTTGTTTTTTCCCTTTCTTCGTGTGTGTGTTGTGTATTGTGTGTTGTTTTTCTGATCCTGTCCGGTTTTTTTTTTTTTTTCTGTCCTCCCCCTTTTCCTTTTATTCCCCCGTTGTTGTGTTGTGTATATATGTTGGAGTAGTGTGCAGAGGGGTTGGGTAGATGAGGGTAATGGGGGTTGATGTGGGATTGTGGGGTGAGTGAATGGGAGTGTGAGGTGTACGTGGGGGTGAGGGAGTGGGAGTGTGAGGGGTACGTGGGGTTGTGGGGGGTTTTTATTTTTATTTTATTATTTTTTCTTTCATAATTAATATATAAGATAATATAATGATAAGAATATTATTTATCTATTTTTAACTATTATTTATCTATTTTTAACTTGTAGAAAATTAAGTAGCTAATAATAAATTGTAATTATAAAATATTAGCTTATTTATTAAATTAAAATTAAAGAAACATATATTTTTTGTAACTTTTCATTTCTTTTTTAAACAATTGAAAATAAAACTTACCTTAAAAAGTGATTCTATTTTTGTTGTTTTCAACTTTTTTTAAAATAAACTTAAAAAAAATAAGATAAAAGTCATAAATATTTAGTTTAGATTTATAAAATATTTAAGCTCTAAAAATGGTGTTAAACTTAAGTTCGGTAAAAAATTACGTGTCTACATAACTGATATAGTAATTATACCAAAAATAGTGATTCAGGTCTATAAAAACCAATCAAAAACTAATAAAACATACCCACTCCATCAAATATGTAATTAATGGCCTAATTGACTTATAACACGTTAATATAGTTCGTAAAGTTTGAAGTAGCAAACGAAAATTTTATATATACCTAACTACATTAATTTATTACGGTTACGTAATGACAGAAGTTTAATATACATTACATTATCTATCTGTCATTTAATAAAAAGAATATAAAGTATGCATTGGCACACGCCCAATTAAAAAATGGATTTTTCGTAAAAAAAATTACAATTACAATAAACTATTCAGTAAAACTCATAGGAGAATAGAGTATACACAAATTTTATCACCACCTTTGAGTTTAGGTGGTACCTTCATAACACACAAAACCTCAAAGGCAAGCCTTCATTTCATCCAAACCACCTATTGTAGACTGTAGTGTGTGATATCAAAGTCGATGTCGCCACTGTCCTAGGCTACAGATCCAAGCTATTTAAAGTTTTTTTTTTTGAGATTGTGTGACAAACCTTAGTTCCACGTCCGCTTCATCTATCACCATACTGAATTTGCACTCCAAATATTTTGTTTTGATCTTGAACAACTTGGTGATTCCTTTGGACTTAGAGTCTGTCTCCAAACCTCCAAACTAGCATCGCCTATATCCCAAATCTCATCAATCAGTGCGATATCCACAGAGTCAAAAATGTTTTCCATAGAGTTTTCATCAAAAGATTCTAAAAAATTTATAAAATGACATACGATAAATAATTTCCCATCTAAACAATAGTCTAATACCATCGTTAATTTCAATTACATTAAATTTTTTTAATTAAAAATAAATAAATGCTATCTATTTTAGCATTTAGCGGTGTAATTCAAGACTATCGAATTCCAAAAGTTGAAAGATGAGAGAAGACAAAGAAAGCAGTACACTTGGATGATTCTTAAGGTATATCCCCTTTCCCCTTTCTCTTTTTTTTTATAAAGATTTTTGACTCGTTGATCAAATTTGAATTCACGTATTTCAACGCTTAATTATTATGGATAAAATTCAGAGGATCAATTTCAAAATATGTAATTAAGGACGAAGAAATTCCAATAGTAATCTATATTGATAATATAGTGGTATATCCTTCCTTGAATCCTTGTGGTACAGGACACATCGTTTACACTTTACAAAGTGGTCCTTAATAAGGACTCCTTATATTAAAAAAAAGGGAAAAAGGATAAATATATCCCTGAATTATCGTAAATGGTATGCAAATACTCTTCGTCATATTTTTGGGACATTGGTGCCCCTGCCGTCCAAAAATTAGAGCATATATACCCTTTAGAGTGAAGGGCATATATGCTCTAGTTTTTAGACGGCATGGGCACCAATGTCCCAAAAGTATGACGAAAAGTATCTGCATACCATTTACGATAGTTCAAAAATATATTGTCCTTTTTCCTTTTAAAAAAAAAAAAGCCTCATCAAATTTCCTAGTTAATGGATCTATCACAATCGTTTATCTTCGAAAAATAAAATAACTTTAAGAAAGCATTAAAATAAATTGATTGGGGAGAAAAAGTCGAACACTAATTTATTAATCATGAAAAGTTCATTAGAATTCTTTGCCAAGTACTTGCCAACCAAACAATAATGCTATAATATAAGTATATTATATATAACTATTAAACAATCTAATTTTTTTTTTTGAAACATACAAGAAACCTACTCCGTGGTACAATAAATAAACTTTATAAATACATTTATCAAAATAATTGAAGTGTTTTCTTCCATTTGCATTTTTGGTCCAAATTACTCTATTACTTGACTATAAGCCATTTTACTAAATGTGAAATTCATAAAAATTAGATAAGCCATTTTGCTAAATGTGAAATTTCATTGCAAACCTTGCATCTAGCCCTAAATAAAAAAATGATCTTTAACGGCACTTAATTAACGGCAATAGCTCAATTGCCGCTAAATATGTATTTTTAGCGACAATTAGTACTCTTTGTATGTGTCCTTAAAGCCTTTAGCGACATTGGATCTAATGACACTTAACTAATATCGGTAAAGACTTTAACACTCTTTATTAATGTGTCTATTTATTGCCGCTAAAAGTTATTTTTATTATAGTGTAGCCGTGTAAACTTTATATTATTAGAAAATTATCTCAAAAGATTAAGTTGAGTTTGAGATAGGATAATCACAGCTTCTTTGGATGATTGCAACCTAATAGAGTCTTTAGTTTAAATACAACGTATCAAAACTTGATTGTTACTTTATTTTATTATATTATATTGTTATATTTATTATTGTGTAACAATGGAAATTTTCATTTTATGCAATAATCGAGTTGGTATATTAATGCGTTATTACTTTTTCCTTCTTGGAAAATCACAATCGCTAATCTTTGAATACGCACAGGATAAATCCTCTCATGTGCAATAGCTTGCAATAAGCAAATCCTTTCCAATGAGTTTAACCGAAAAAGGAACTACGTGGGGACATCTCCTAACACCTCTTTTTGGAATACCACACTCATTGCACCAAATTCAATCGAGTGAAAAAAGATTCAATGTAATTCGGTCTCTGATTAGATACCCCTACTGCATCAACTCAACCATCATTTCGAGTTAAAATGGCTGAAAAAAGAATTGAATCGCCATTTCAAACACCCTTAACCGTTGAACTATCCAGTAATCATAATTTTATTTATTTATCATATCTTTAATAATACCATTTTAAATTTTATTCTTTAAACCACTAATATGTGACATTACAATAGTATAACTTTGTTCAAATATTATATTCATAAATTTATGTAACATTACAACAATAATATAACTTTATTCATATATTATATAAATCAAAATAATATCAAATAAAACTCAAAGTCATGAAATTTACTCAAAAGTCAAATATACAAATGGATAGAAAGAAAAAAAGGCAAATTACAGAAATCACATACTTTTAAAGCAAAATTACAATCTATCCCTTAAAAGTTTATAATTATAGAAATCCCTCAAACGAATACAATAATATAAACATTGATACATTAATCTGATACGCGAGATACAATAATATAAGCGTTGATACATTAATCTGATGTGCGAGATACAATAATATAAGCGTTGATACATTAATCTGATGCGCGAAATACAATAATATAAGCGCTGATACACTAATCTGATGCGCGAAAATGAGGAATTTTGAAGATTTGTAAAACTTATAGGGGATAATGGTAATAAGTAAATTAAAATATGGGATTTATGTAATTTTTCCAAGAAACCCGAAATAATCTTCAATTTAATTAGACTTTTTCTTCTTCTTCTTCTTGAAGCCCACGTCTATCAATACTTGCGTGTATAAAGTATAAACTAAAAAGTAAAAAGAGTTTTGGATAATGATTATTTTTTATACATAAAAGAGTCCTAAATCAAAGCAAAAGCAAAGTCCAAATTACTCAACCTTCATTCTTTATCTTTTTTTCTCTCTATTGACCATAATTTTTTCACAAAAAGGTTGGTTCTTTACTCCTTTTAATCGGTATTATTTAATTTTTTTGATGAATTTTGATGTTTATTTTACTTCTAATAGTTAAAGATTCAAGCTTTATCAATTGGGTTGTTTCTGTTTTATGTTTTTGATGAATATTTTCTTGATGGGGGGTTGTTCTAGAAGCAGCAAAATTAAAAGTTATTTGAGGGTTTGATTAAGTTTGTATCAGTTTAGGTCAAAAGATGCTTGCTTTGAAGTTTTGTGTTTGTGTTGGAAGAATTAGTTGATTGTTCTGTAAAGCTATTGGGGTTATTTGGGTTGTGGATGATGTGTTAATTAAGTCAATAATTCTGTTTATTTGATTGTTTGATTCAGGAAAAATGGCTAAGAGCTCATTCAAGCAAGAACATGATCTTGGTTTGTTTGGATTCTTTTTATTATTTATTTTTTTAGGTTTTTGTAGTTTCTGTTGTGTTATGATTTTCTTTTTGTGAAAAGAATTGTGGGTGTTTGTGATTGTTTTGACTTTGTTGTTTTGGATGATCCTTCAGAGAAGAGGCGCGCTGAGGCTGCTAGGATTAGGGAAAAATACGCAGATAGGATTCCGGTGAGAACAAAGTTTATGTGAATGGATTTTAATTTTCTGTGGTAGCTGGTAGTTTCAATGTGAATAATGTGATTTATTGATTTTATTGACAAAAGCATTATGAAATTTGAACTATTGCCTTGTAGTATAAACTGCATATGTTGTTTTTTGGTGTTTTTCTGTGTTTGCGAGGGTTAGAGCTCCACGTTGGTTAGGGAACGGATTGGTGATTTGCTTATATAGACTTGGGAAATTCTCATGGGCCTAGGTATCATATATTTACATGTCCCAGTCCACACTCCAGTTGTGCCTGGGCATGAAGGGGCTGTTAGAGTGGTTAGAGTCCCACGTTGGTTGGGGAACAAACTAGTGTTTTGCTTATATGGACTTGCTCAATCCTCCCCTATTGAGCTAACTTTTGAGGTTGAGTTGGGCCTAGGTGTCATATCTCTACATTCTGAATAGACTTCGAGTCATTGGCATTGGTACAATGCCAAGTTGTCTGTGGTGAGATTATCTTTTAAATAAATTTGGATTCAACCGGTATAAATTTGGAAGTTATATAGTTGAGCTTTCTGAATTCCAGACTTTCCTCTTCTTGCCTCTTACTTGCAGTTCGTTGTTATTTACTATTCTCAAAAGGTAGTGACTGATACAAGGGATTAGAGGTGTTATAATGTGATTGCATTGAAATTTCCTTGTTTCACTACCAAATGGAAATTGCCATAGAATGTGAATCTTCTGTATCTAGTTATTCAAATACCATCTCAATTACATAAGAAAGAAATATAGGTATTCTCACGTGGTGACCGGGAAGAGAACCCAAATAGTTCCACTGGACGCCTAATACCACAACTAACTCACAGACCAACTGGGAGCCTTGGGGCAGAGAATGAACAGACTCTGGAGTTTTGATGAAGATGAATGAGTTTCCTCTTTATTGGCAACGCGAGTTCCCATATTCATCCGAGACTTAAATGCACAATAGAAAAGGATAATACACCGTGAAATTATTGAAGGCACCTAACATGCTTTCTGAGTCTGAATAAAACAACAAAGGTAATAACACATTCTTGTTGACATGTCTCTTGGTACTATCAATTCTGTTTTCCTGATCCCTAGTTCTACAATTCCAATGTCACCGGTGGTTTCATTTATATCAAGTTGACAATTAAGTCAGAATCTTAGTTTGCTTTTTCCTTGTCCAAAGGCCATCCCACTCTGTTTCTCTCAGTCTGGAAGCCCAACAGCTCTCTTGTGTACTGAAACGGGTATGATAGTTTTTTAGAGGTGAATGGGGTAGAGTTATCTTACTGCAGATGAGTTCTTTGGTAGTTGGATGTGTTCCCCAACGATTTGAAGGTAGAAAGAATGACAATAGGTACATTTGAGTTGATCATTCGGCAAGACCTAAACTTCAAAAGTAAGAGATGAAAGATTCGCAGAGGTCGAAGTAGTAAGCTTATTTAGTCAAAGTTTTGATGACAAAAGTATGTAGATTTGATATGATGTAAACTATAATGCAGTTTTAAGTATTGATGAACAACGTCGAAACCAGTAAGTCAAATTTAAGCTAATAGAAAAAGCATGTTAATCACTTACTGATGCCTAACACAATTGCTTAGATTCTGATCCCTGGAGATGTTGGAATCACGTGTAGACGTATATAATATGAACATTTTATGTGGATCAAGGAATAATAACAACTGCAACCACACCTCTATCCCAAGCAGCTTTAATCGGGCTACATGAATACTCACTGAAGTCTGAACAATACTTCAAAATTTGTTCATAGCAGAATATTATTTATCCTCGTCACAGTTGACAATTATCTCAAATCAAATTGGATAATGGCCAAGAGGGTATTGTCCAATTGTAAGCTTTGATATTATGTACCAATTATATGATTGTCATAGTTGAGTCTTGTTTAAACTCAAACTGGATATGAGTCCAAAGAGGGTGCTGTCCAATTTTCACTCAAGAATTTCTCCTTAGTATTTGTTTTGTTTGGTATTATGTGCGAATCCATCCAGAATTCTGTTGTGCTCCTTTTTCACAGTATTTCTGTAATATGCAGGTGATAGTTGAAAAGGCTGAAAAAAGCGATATTCCTAACATCGATAAGAAAAAGTAAGGAGTAAGGACTGACCAACCTTCAAGTTAATTTTTTGTTTTACTTATATCTATGTTCGGTTGTGCTACAGCCAAGGGAGAAACATATTACCTCTCAGAAATTGTTTCTCCCTTATTCCGTCATTTCTTGTGTCCCTTTTCAATTGGTGCCCCTTCAGATTGGCAATTGACATTTTCCTTAACTTGCTCATTGCTTCTTGCTATTTTGTCCCCAACATTAGCTTAATTTAGGTGATAATTGGTGTCATTCATGCGATATGTTGAGAAAAATATTGTCGTTTCTCGTAGGCTGTATGTGTCAAATTTACAAATATCACCTTTTTCTTTCTCCTTAGTACATCTGTTTTTTCCTGCCAACGAAGGACGCCACAATAAGCATGACCCTTCTTTCTATCGTTATTGCAAAAACTTGATTCATGTTTTCCTGATTGGCAAAATTACAGGTATCTTGTGCCAGCTGACTTGACAGTTGGGCAATTTGTCTATGTCATTCGTAAAAGAATCAAATTGAGTGCAGAAAAGGCAATATTCATATTTATTGACAATGTGCTACCGCCAACAGGTGTTTCTTTACTACTAATATCTGTTTTTTTGGAAGCTGGCATAGCAATTTGGAGAGCAGTTCTCTCTTTTACTATGAAGTGAGCTGACTGTGTTTGGTTTCGCAGGGGCAATCATGTCTGCAATCTACGATGAGAAGAAGGATGATGATGGTTTCCTCTATGTTACCTACAGTGGAGAAAACACATTCGGGGGACTGAGCGAACTGTAGCTTTGACATCCATTCATTTGCTTACATTTCCCCTGTTTATCGTCCTGTGACACTTCTCCGTCCTGCTAATATCTTCCACTGCTTCCAAAATCTTCAAGATTATACCGGTAAAAATTATGTATAGCATATATTTATGTATAGTTCAAGAGCACAAGTGTTGCAATCTTCTGACTTACGATGCTAATAATCAGTCGGATTTGACCTCCTTAAAGATTGCGTCTGTGTCCGAATAATTTGCGATTTTATAAAAGGGCAACACTGAGGTGCCTAATTTCATTCTTGATTGCTTTCCTATTTCAACATTCTATTTGAATTTGTGCTTACTATTATTGCGCTTTATCTTTTTAGGACTTTTCGGCGTGAATTCGGATTTAGTCGCCTTTATCGGTCATACTTTTCAAATTTAGTTAATGATGAAAACAAATCCTGAGGGAAATCTTGTGCCTAAAAAAATGGTGTCATATAGCTTGGGAGATTGCGAAATATATTTGAGTTTATAGACAAAGTGGTCGAAGATGCTGACTTAAAGAGGGAAGAATTTTTCAAAGGGAGCATCAAGGCCTACCATTTTGTCCTTAAACTAGAGCATCTTCTCTTTGAGTAACTATGGTATTCAAACTAGTTTGCGCGACTGTTGACTAATTCCATGAAATACCTATCATCTCTTACCCAACAATAAGTATCAGGTATCTCTCTATCAATAACAAGTATCAGATAACTTCACGACAGACAGTGGAAAAATCACCACTAAAACTAGAATATCTATTTGGCAATGGAAAATGAGCTTATGGGCTACGACTAGCAAATTAACGGAAAGTTTTTGTTGTAAAGGTCATGTCCACACCTTTCGTATGGGTAAAATCTTGCAAAAATAGATATTTGTCTGTGAAAGCACAACACAAGCATGGTACACTACTTTCTCTAATGTTCATATTTTCTTTCTACTTAATTAAAACAAAAATAATCGAATTTTAAATTCGTGATCTAAAGAGGAGAGCATAGAATCATATGAAAGAAAAAGAAACAGAGAATAGAGGCTTTGAGGCATGAAAAATCGACTATCTTTATAAGTCCCCAAAGAAGCCGTTCACCACCGATGTGGGAGAGCAATTCATTTCCTATGATTAGAGGTGGCAGAATGGTAATTTATATGGGTATCCATTCATATTTACCCATTTTAAATAGATTGGGTACTCAACTCATTTTAAAATGGGTAAAAATGAAATACTCATATTTACCCATTTAAAAGTGGATAGTTAAATGGATAATACGGGTAAAATATGTTCATTAATAAAAGAAAGAAAATTGATTAGGGGTGAGTGGTAAAAAAAGCTTTTTAAAAAAATTATTCTGATATAGCAAACTATTCTAACACCATATACCCTCCACATAGATCAGCCAATGTTTACACTATTAAAAAATCGTCTTTGAAAAATGTCCAGTGGTTATTCTAGATATTTTAATTAAATAGGTGAGAAAAAGACGAAGTAGGAGTACGTGTTTTCATATAGAGAAATTAGAAAGCTTTCCAGTATTTCAGTGAGAATCTGTTTTTCGCCATGCCTTTTTCATTAAAAATATTTGGTAAAAATGATTGAAAAAATCATATTTTATAACATGATTGTTTTATTAATTCGTGGTGGTGGGAAAAATATCTGCTTCTAGTAGTGTCATGCCTACTGCCTAGCCAGTAGGAAAACATAATTTCGAAACTCCCCAAAATTTCCACAACAATATCCAATGTTATATAGTAAATGACAAGATCCTATGGCTCCTCTTAATTAGCACTTGGTATATAGTGAAATTTCTTAGGTATAATAACATAAAATAAACAGAGAAGGTTTATGCCAACTTTTGTCAACTTAAATACGTATACGAATATGAATAATCAAAGTTTAAAAACATATCACAAAATTCACCATGTTATTAATACACACATGTCCATTAACTATTTAATTATCATCGAAATATTTTAGCTAATGTTCATACATAATTATACGTATATATATCGATCAATTAATGAATAGTGGGTTGACATGTTTCTCCAAGCGTCCTAATATACTTTACTTGTTGACCAATAATATATCGGTTTGGAGTAAGGTTAATTCATCAAAAGGATTTTCATCCCAAAATATACATATATAGACTCAAAAAAGGACTAATAATGAGATTTCTAAGGCAAAGCAAGAAAGGCTAATGTCAACATAAGTTGGCACAAACAGGAAAAAACACTTGTAGTAACACATCATATTCATGATAGTTTGTTAAGGTATACAAGAATTAATACTAATGTTTTCCCAAATAACAATATTCCAAAACATCAAATTAAAGGTCTTTCCAATGGAGATTTCATTTGATCCACTAAAATTGTCAGCAGTTAGAGAAAGGAGGAGGAGTCGGAGAGCATGACATATCCGCTATGATCAGTTGAATTCAGTAGTTTTGATCTAAGCGCGCTTTACATAAATAAAAATATATAATCACTAATCACTCTAACAACTTATGCTTTTAGATGAAATTAATGTCCATATGATATATGAACAGATAGAAGAGTGAGTTCGAGTTTCAACATCTATTATCAAAATGAACTTTTACGTATTTAACTCATGAAAAAGAACCTGGCTGCATGTGAGAGGACATGTTAATATACATATAATCGAATAAAAAAAACTATATATTAGATGAAGTGGTCACACATTTCAATACCGATATTTGTTATATGAAATCTATTACTTCCTTCATAGGCCAATTTATGTATCACTCTTTTTTTTTTTAAAGTTAGTCTGTTGAAGAATGAAAAAGTCTCACATCAATGATTAATAAGATAAGTGATCTCTTTATATGGACTTAAATAATTATGTTCTCATGATAACCTAACTTTTGGGGTCGAATAATTCTCCATAAGATCCATTTCTTTATATATGAAGTACGTACATAGTTTTAAATTCATAAACTTCATATCCTCAATCCATTGTTTATAATTTTCACATGTCTAGGACACATGGGAATAGATGCCACGTGTCATGTATTGATTGGGACCCCCATGTCATGGAGTGTTGGGTGACAATGGCAGTATGGCCATGCTGCTTTGTCTCCCCATAATCATAAATTCTTCTCCTTTGAGGTCCCAAACTCCCATTCTCTTTTAGGGTCCCATATGTTTATATGTTAGGCTACTCATAATCTATATTTATTTTTTAATTTCTCTCCCGGTGTTCGGAGCCCACATTGAAGCTTCGATTAAATTTGGATCACGCCCATTCAGAGGTGGCGCTCCTAATAGGAATTTTTCCATACCCAAGGCTCGAACCGAAACCTCTAGTTAAGGGTGAAGAACTCCCACTAGTGCACTAGTTGGTACTCATAATCTTTTATTTCCTCTTATCTTTGTCTGATAAGTTCTGTTAGGTAAGTTACAATTTTGATTTTGGTCCTCATCATTTCTGATTAGGTATATTTAACTTTTAATTAATTGACCAGTGACCTAGATTTTGAGTTATTCAATTATTGATGTATAATATTGAATTTATATCGTTATTTCCTATTTGATGATAGCACAAGTAGTTCTAAAAATGATTTAAGTATTATATCATATCTTTCTAATATAAAGGGAGAAAAACAAATATCTTGTAAAACTACTTAGCTTAATATTATAAGGACTACAATGAGAATTTATTAATAATGGAAGAATTAAAAGTGCAATCACCCTTAAAAATATAGCCATATATTATTAGAGGTGAATTCAAATTTTAGAAAAGGCAAATTACTAGGTTTTGAATAAATATTTGTATACATTAAGTAAATTATATTATTGAATCTATAATATTACTAAAGCTCTAGCTCCGTTCTAAATTTTTGAGATATATAAATTTTGATTATTTTTATCATATGTATAAAAGGAAAAGAATCCAAATGGGCTCTCATATAGTTATTATGACCTCACATTTAAAAAAAAAAAGGTCCATTATGGTGTAAACAAAACGTCAATTACACTACAAATCATGTCTATACTTCTGTTTTCACTATTCTTTATGTCGGTTTTACCATGCAGATCATGAACTATTTATCTTAAAGTTTTACGAGTTTCTAAGATTATTGAGTTTTCATGAACCAGTAAATTATCGTGTGTGCATTTCATAATTCCTTATATATAGATATATAAGGTCATGCTAATCATGCTAATTTTCTCTGTATCATTATAATTTTATCAGATATTCCAAAAGGAATGCATACCTCTACGATGTTGGTAGGAGCGAAGCCAGGATCTGATCATCTAAACCCCCTCTGACGAAAATATTATTTTTTATATTTATACTTTATACGGTAGATGTTGAACTCCCTTTGATCAATACGGTAGATGTTGAACTCCCTTTGATCAACATGTTCATATATTTACTTCTTCTTATTCTAAATTCCCTTAATGAAAATTATGATTCCGTTACTAAACGCTACCATGGCACGAGTCATGGCCAAGTTAAAGATGAGCACAAAAATGAGATACAAGCATGTTAAAGTAGGAGAGGCCGTTACTTTTTGTGTTTTTTTTTCTTCATATTAGACAAAAAAAACTAGCTTATCTCACATCCAAAATCCTGACATCCTTTGACTTCATTGCATATTCTTTTCTATGTTCAAACTTATTATTATTGAGCTAAATGAAGAATTGCCCTCCAATTTTGATCAAAGAGTATTCATGTATAATTTCCTAAAAGTGTTGAACAACAACTTTATTAGAAGCAAGAAAACAAATACATGTGCCAATGAACCAGTTTTCCCAACTTTGAAAGGGCTAATAGGACAATGTTAGCAAGATGACAAAATCTGTAGTTCTTTTGGAGTTTGCAAATAACGTACTCCATATTATAAGAATTACTTTTTGAAAGACAAATTATGATTTGTACTAATGTGGTAGACATCACTAAACTACCATAGAATACTAATGCTCTTTCTAATTTGTAATTTTGCCTAGTACATATATTTATAATATTATCATGTTAACGCAAAAAATAGAGTAGCTTAAAAAGAGTTATAAATAAAACAAGGTTAGCAGGGTGACAAAAAGTTGTAGTTGCTCAGATATTTGCAAATGATGCAGTATTGTGACGCCCATAGGTTTCTTGTGTGAAACTTAGATGTTGAAGCACGCATCTTAATCACCCTGTCTGTGTGAATTGAACGAAGTTCAAAGTACAAATGAATTTTACATATTGAAATAGGAGAAGAAAGTTAGGAATCTTACAAGAATGGGTTCATAATTAACTATTTGTGACATATTTTGGGTTAAAACTCAAGAAATAATTTTTTGCTGGCCTAGACCCAAAATAAATAATAGCTTAACAGTTGATTCAAGACATTACAAGAGCATGACTCTTCCTCAGTACTGTGATAGGGAAAACCTTAGAGAGGACGTGAGTCCCAGGGTGTGCATGTATGTGACGTCCATGACGGAGAGCAAGCCTTTAAAAAGAAGGTTGTACACTACACCTTATGAATCCCACATAAGAAAAACCTTTTAGAAAGGCTAGATAGGACAAGGTTAGAAAGATGACAAAAATTGTACAATTTATTTTAGGGGATAAAAAAAGTAGCATAGCAAAAGTAATAAATTACAAAGGCAAGGAGTGCCATTTACTAAGCCATGCTGAAAATCTAAAACAAAGATATGAAAGGGTGGTAGGAATCCTGCACAAACACATGGGACATGTCCTAGAATTCTCTTATTCTTATTTATTGCATGTATTATATGTATATGAATTATGTTATGATCAAATTAATTATGTAATTATGTAAACTATATATTAAATGCTTCACCTAATTACATGAAGATGGGGTTGTTATAAAGGAGGATTTCCAATCACAAGAGAATGAACAACATAAGTGATCTTTAATTAACAACATGTTACATGTGAGATCCATAAGAAAGATTTTTGACTCCATTACCTTGTATTTGTCATGTGTTTTTGTTAAGCTTTTTGTATATCCTTGACTTCTAAAATTTGAACTTAAGACTAAAGATTTGTCGGTAGATCAACAAGCTCGATCTCTAATTTTTCAATAATCTTTTCAATTTTGTAAAAATATTAGCATACTTTATAATTTACTTCATTATATACTCAATATGTCAATAGCTAGAACACTTTATTAATAACTTATTAGAGTAATATTTTGATAATGCTAGTGAGACTCAAACCCAAAATGAGTTCTGCTCTAATAATATTATTGAAGTGTGTATGATAATCTCTAATTCTAAAAATTTAAATTATTAAAGAGATCATATATTTTAATTTATTTAATTATATTTTCATCGACTAGATGTTTTACTTCCCCGGGTCAATAGATCTTCCTATCCTTATCCATCAAAAAATGTTATTTATATTTTTCCATTGTGTATATATATCCTATATCGATATCTATATATCACCAATGACCCCTTTTCCTTTTGATTTTATTCATTCTTGAACAACATTAATAAACTTGACCTAAATCATTCAACTTTGCATAATTTTAATATCTTAGAAATTAATTAAAGTGAGTAAACTATTAATCTTTTTGTAATGAAAAGTCATTCAATTTTATCAAAATATCACGTAGAGTCACTAGTTAATTCACACACAAGAAGGTGTTACGTTGCAACCACATTCTCTAGTAACTTAGGTTGGCATACAACTCGATCACTCTCTCCAGATTTCACTTGTGAAATCTCACTAGACATGTTATTGTTGATTGAATTTGAATTCATAATTTCAAAAAAACAATGAGTCAACATTAATAAATTAAAAACGTTAATTATTATACGGAACAAATTAAATTCTGAATCCGTCTCTGTGTCTAAATCCGAGTGGGGCCATGGTGATTGAGAAGTTTAAAGGAAGGAGGAGACATGGGGAGGCCGCCAATATCTTCAAAAATGTAGTGAAGGATGAGCATATCCAAGCACCTGCATGTTCTACCTTCATCTCCCTACAAAACCTGCATTTAATGCCATTCATTGCCCTTTTCCTACTACTTATATGCCCACTAAATTCATTGCCAATATCCCAACACAACCCTAGCTAGCTACCAAGTTGCAATATTTTCAAGAAAATAATACCCTATAACCTATTATATTCATAAGCTTGCCCAAAAAAAACAAAAAAATGTTCATCAATATGTCTAAGTTTCTTGTTTATCTTTTGGTTTGTATTTCTCTTCATGCATGTAGTGCTAGACCACTAGCAAGTGTTGATGATAAAGAAAACAAAATACTACTCTCTAGCAAGGTTTGCTCACAAATATTTCTTTCCTTCTTGATTTGTATAACCGTCCATCAAAATAATAGCAATACTCTCTAGCCAATATATACTAGTATCTTTTACTAGAGAGTGTAATTATTTTAATTTGATTGACCGATCAAATATGTAACTTGTCCTTGTTTATTTGCAGGAAGTAACAATTATGACTAGTGACACATCAAAAACAGAAGGAAGAATAATTATGTCTGAAGATATTGGAAAAGATGATGGAAAACTTATGTGGAAAAAGACATCAATTGTTGCACGAAATCAATTAGACGATGAAGAAAATAAAGGTAGTTTTGGCACGTTAAAAATTTCCGTTATTGTTGAAACATGTTAATTGTCATAGCTTGTGTAGTTCCTTTCAGAGCTTACTTTTATTAAATTATACCTCACTACACCCGGTGGGTTCGATGACTTAAACACGTGGAAATTCTTTTTAATAAGTATATATATATATGGTAGTGAGACTCAAATCCATGCGGCAAAACCTCTTGCCTGCTATGATATATTATGACCATGTTATCGGAAAAACTTGAGCTACTAAAGAAAATATACTTTTATTTACTCAATATCTCTCAATAACTATAAGGTTGTACATATATATAATACCCGATCATTATTGTCTAAGGTAACAACATAGTCTATGTATGAAAAAATAAGAAGAAAAGAAACTCACATTTTATAATATGTATTACTTCCTTTGTAACTCACCTAACCAAGCTTGTTTGGTGACTTTAGAATTAATGTCATATTTTCCCATGTTATGAGTGACAATATTTTCAAGAACAGATAAAAAAAATAGAGGGAATTTTTATTTTATTTTTTATGTTTTGCTTCCTTTTAAATTCATGAATGCAACTTTTTTTCTTCTTTACAACGTTAATTTACCCTTTAGTAATTTTCTTATATATGACGAAATATGTGTTGTGACTAACAGGAAACAAGGTTGAGATATCGTTTCATGAGGGAGCTCAAGTAAAGGTAAAACTCTAATTTCTCTCTCTCTAGCTCTACACAATATAATTAGTGTTTAATTAATTCATGTCACTGAATAATTAAAATTAGTACTATATATTATATGATGCAGTATTTTTGGGAAAAGTCAAGTTTTACCCTCATACTTAATAATTATAAGAAACAATAAAACTTCTTTTGTGACCCAAGAATCCTGTTTTTTATTGTTAAAATAAGTGGAGTCCAAGATTTGTATTTCATTTTTTATCAACTATCGACATGCACATTGTCGTCAACTTAAAGGACAACATAGATGCAATTTCTATGCATGTATAATCACTTTATATGTAAGTCTATATATCGAGGTTAAAATGTAAAATGCATGGATTCTTTGAAAACACTATCGATATATATAAGTTAATGTGCTTATACTAAACATTGTATGCAGATATCGAGGAGAGAATCGCGGTTGATGCTAGAATCTCCACTGTCAACACAACATGAGGAAGAAGCAGTAAACTCCATTGAAAAGGAACTTGTGGAAGACGTAGTAGTTATGGATTATGCACAACCCCATAGAAAACCACCTATTCACAACACGAAACACTAAAATATATTGTAGATGAAAATCATCATATACTTATATGTATTTTATTTTCTCGTTTATACGTATGTGAGACCTGTCAGTTTTCGTTTTTTTTTTCTTCTTAAAATTATTATTATTATTGTTTTGGCAAATGAAGGAGAATCCTAGATGAGATCATACTCCATGTATGTACAAATAGAAATGACTAAAAATTGCAAAACTCCTAGCAAAAAATATCAATGTTATATATTATGTTACATTAATGCATATGGTTGAGGTTTATTGAGGGCATGATGTGGATGTATATGGTCCCTCATATTATTGTCTTGTTTTTATCAAGTGTACCTTATATTAAAAAAGAAAGAAAGAGTGCATATAAATAAATAGGAAAAAAATTAGCAGTGGTCTCTCTGCTGTGAATGTGTTGGTTGGTTTCTTCTTTAATGATGGAGATAGTTATGTGGTAGTTTCTGTTTTTTGTCTCTTTTTTAAAGTCCTTTGCATTTGCTATCCAAGAAACCAAATCTATTTTTGTCATTTATTATGTGTACAGCCATAAGCAGGCAACAAATTTGCTATTTGTCCCCTCTTGTTCTTGAGTTTGGTTGGGCGGATTGAATCAAATAGATTATCGGATCAAGACTCAACCCACCCATCCAAAGTTTGGGTCATAACCCGAATCATCTAGCATAACCCAAACCAATTGAAGGCAGCAAGTAATAAGAGTCTCAACAAATTGGAAGGATTAGTTTACTGTTTTCTGCATTTATCCTGACCTCAAATGTCATACCTAATTTTTTCTATTTTGTATCTAGAAATGGTCTTTTTTAAGAGGAAATTCATACAATTGTTTAAAGCTAACACCTAACTAGAAAAGATCCCAAATTCAAACATCAATAAAAAGAGAATAAGCAATTGCTTTCATCACCGATCGCATTACAGAAAACAGGAAGGGGAAAATCAGTTTAAAATTATACGGAACATAATTCTATATATAAGAACCTGAGCGCAGGACAATTGGGCTTGCAGCTGCAGTTCTATCCTTTTGCAATCAATCAGTATTGAGATGTGGCAACTATGTTGATCATTCTACCACCAGGGATGTCGTAGGATGGTTGGGATCCCTCTATCTTTAACCAGAGATCACAATGCAAGAGGGACAGACCCAACTATTGACGAATCACAATCACGTCACACAGCCTGGAAACTAATTTTGAAGTAAAATCAAATAGAAGCATTTTGCAAGTTTCACAGAGCAAAAATGCCTACAGCAGTACCCATTTTACCTAATTGAGGGGATTTTTCACTACAGTTGACAATGAATAGTTTCACAAAATTGATGAATTCTGATGTTCTGATCCCCAGTTTAAGATCAATCTCATCAACTCCAAACCAGAAGAAGTCAGGATTGAGGTTGGTGATTGCTTCATCCAAAATCACCTGGTAAAATTAGAATGAATTACAGTTATATAGTAGTACAAAACTATTTTCCATAATAGTTGATGTTTGGCTTTAAACAGTGGATGTCTAAGGCTGAATAATTTAATAAATGTATTCACGAAGAGAATCATCAATAAAGTATTTCTTCACCTATCACTTTAAAAGGTTAGCTTTTTTCAGCTAAACATAATTCGTTAGTTGTTGAACAAGTCGCGGTGGCCTTTCCTCTGCTGCCTACTAGTTGCAAAAAGGAAAGCTTCTTATATGTAATTTAATTGTAGGCGAAAGGGTAATTGAAGTGGCCTCTAATGTGAGGTAATGACAAAGTGAGAAAAACTGGCAGGCTGCACATCTAGATCAACAACATTGACAGATACAGATTTTAGGAACAGTGAGCAGTAGCACAGCTGGCACAATGAATAGCATAGAGTCCATTTATTGAAGGGAATGATGGAGAGTAAAACACATACCAAATAGTCCACTTTTCGTCTAAAAGTGGAAAAATGGGGACCCCTCAACATGTATCACATATTATTAGCAATTGGTGTAAGCAAGAGAGTGACAGGAACTGACCCTGGCAACTAGACCGCAGGGCCCAATTTGCTCAAGCTACAGCAAACAGCAATGGACAAGAAGGTTGCACTAGATAATATACCTTGATGTGATGCAAATGAGTGCAGGAGGCAAGAAAGACAGATATTGTGTGGTTTAACCAACAATACGTAGGAGGAATCAATAATTTGCAACATAAGTGTTCTAGTCCAGTTAAAACCTTCATAACCGTGTTATTCACCTATTCTTGGCTTTCATTAGAAGCAACTCAGAAGCTAGCCGATATGGCATTAGCTACTATCAGCAGCAGCATTAGAGAATGTAATGACTTTGACGAGCTGCACAACATTTCAATAACTAATGTGGGAAATGACATGGGAACAACTCATATGTGAAACTGTAAGCAGAAGAATCTTGGGAAACATTATGACAATTACAGCGAAAAAACAGAGAGACAGAGTACCGGTATGTAGGTCCTCATGCCAATACATGTGACTGCGTTGTGCTTTCATAACCAGTCAGCTTTGCTGATATCTCCTCAGGATCCAGCCTCACTGCATAAGGTATTCAGTTTCTAAAATCATTCTATATGAACTACTCAAACATAATGACGACCCCACAGAACACTTCAGACCTCAGAAACTTAGAGCATCCAAATTTCTTTGCTCCCAGTAAAGACATGGTTGGAACAGGTCAACAATCATAAGGCATATGAATGATAAAAAGAATGCATAAAACAAGTCCATCTTTAAAAAATTATGCTTTTTAACTGTCGTGTTTTTAGTAAGGTATCGAATCCAAAGGCCAAAAGTAGTTAACACATTCATTGCCACTCTCAAGGAATTACTTTGGAGTTGCTCAGAGAGAATCTAGAACTGAAGTAAACCATTCATGTAAAGAAGTAAGGAAAGAAATTCCAGAATGAGATTTTTTCAGGCCATCCAAGCATTAGAATAACAATTGTCGATTTGTTCCAGTAGTCCATGCTGCCAGACACCCTTCTAACATCTTTAAGGTGCCTGGTGAAGCCATTAACAAGGTTGAACTTTCTTTAATGCAATGGAGTACCCAAATAGTTGAAGATTTTCAACAAGAAGATAAGATTATAAACCTAAAATCAAACTTTAGTGTAGGACAAGCAACATGGATAATCTCCTGATAAGTTGAACATAAAACAAGAGCTGCTCAGATCAAATTTAGCAAAAAGCCTTCTGGACATAAACTATCCAGATTGGTTAAGACGACTAGAAATGGGCATGAATATGGTAGACATTTGGAGAACAACAAAAATAAAGAGTTAAGTAAACTGAGAACTCCCTTATGCTGTGTTTGAATGGAATGGAAAGAGTGGGTTATAACTCTTGTCAAAAAAACAAGAGTGGGTTAAAAGTCCTTATTTTACATTTGATGAGGTTATTTTTTACAGAAAAGGGAAATTGCGCACATAGAAGACATACACATAACTGGGAATTAAGGAATGTATTCCTACCTACAAAGTTCATCCAATGATCCATACAAGAAGGAATCACTTTCATTCCCCAGAAATTTTGAAAAAAACAAAAAAAACAAAACAAAGAGATGGACAGAATTTGATTAAGAACTTTTCTGATCCTTAAAAAGCCCTATGGTTTATTTTCACCAAACAGCACAGAGTAACAGTTTGTGGGATAACATCCCATGTTCTTCTCTGATATCTCCTTTGTTCACTCCTTTTGAGCATTATCCAACGTAACTAACTCCAATAGGCTATAAAAGGAATCTCCAGACAGCTAATGGTGATTCTACAATGTAAGAAAAAATCAGCTAACATGTATCCTGTTCTTTGAACTCAGGTTCTGCTATATTTACATTCCAAATTAGTAATTACACATTTGGGAGCATTAGCATTTAGAGGACAATATTGCACTTGATGAAACAATCCTTCTTTCCCTTCCAATGGTGATACATGTTATTTTTTTTAGACTACACAATTACCATGGAGCTAACAAAGTCCAGGAAATATCAAACTTTTGAATTGTGAAGAAAATGGATCTTGAACCAAATCTAATCTCAAAAATTAGCTCATGAGATGAGGATTGGCCGAGACCATATAAGGAGACCACTATTATTCCTTTAACCAATGTGGAAAATCTAAAAAGTAAGCTCATGGGTGAGGATCGCTCAATATTATATAAGAAGGCAACAACCCATACCCTGAACCAATATGGGACACTTAACACCCTCGGCATGCTAGGATGGGCATCTGGTTCTTCCTTTTCTGGTGCACACAGTGCATACCTAGGTAAACTATGGAGAGATGATTCCCCTCTGGCCGGGCCTCCCAATCGAGATAAGCATCCTCTAAGTGGGCGTTTGACCGTGAAAATCAAATATTTTTCACTTTATTTGAAATTTTTAATGTTGGAGTTCGCCAAACTTTTGGCAAAGAATATTTAGAATATGATTTTTCTAATTATGATTTATATCCCCAATTTCTAAAAACAAGCAAAATTACTCAACTTGACTAATTTACTTGAAACGTATGATCAAAACTGCTCCAAAAGAGTAATAATCTCAAAATAGATAGTCACATAGTGTCATAGATAAAATCCTAAATTCAACATACTACTACAAATAATTTTTCACTTTATTTGGAATTTTAAAGTTGGAGTTGTCTTTGAATATAATTTTTGAAAATAATAATTGGTTGTTTGAATGTACTTTTCCTAAAAAAAGCATGACATACAATTTAAAAGCCAGTCCTGTATATAAGTTTTTTTGTACTCCTAGAAAAAAACTCTGCTTCCAAATCATGTTCTTTATCTACACTATACATGTGAAGCCTAAGTCATAATAGCATCCTGCAAGTCTGCAACTACCACAAAATGCAATCAATATCTCACCAATTTTCCTTTGATGATAGTTTATAATTTCTTCAATCCATGATTTGATGCTGCTTCTTTTTTATTTCGTAATCAATCCCATTCCAACATTACATTAACTGCAAATAGTGTTGACAGCGTAATCTCCACTCTGAAATATTTCATCAGTTTCTTTAGAGTAGGACTATCATAATGTCTACTCCACTGTCCAGCAATACAAGATGTTCACCATTTTCCTCTTTGAAGTCGGTAAGATGTTCAATTTTATACACTAAAAGAAACAAGAGAAAATACACATCTCCATATATCGCGTATTTCATTCATTTAAAGATTACAGTAAAATCTCTCTAAATTAATATAGGCGGGACCATGAAATATTATTATTTTGTAGAGGTATTCTTTAATCGATAAATTAATATTTATTAATTTAAAGAGTGTTCAACACTGAAAAAATTGTACATGGATAAAATCTCAAAGAATTTGAAAGAACTCACTTGTGAACAAGTCATTCATGAACTTGAGGTGCAAATCCTTCACTGCTACTCATGAAAGCTCCATATACATATTTGATTCAGAATTTCTTTAACAGATAACTCAACACATGACACATTTACTTTTCACAGCTTTTTACATTTTCCCTGTCCCAATGATACATTATGACTAATTTTCGTCTTCATCATCTAAAAAGCTAGATTTCATCCTATAAGTTTGCATTTATACAATACTGTAGCAAATAACACACTTGAACTAAAATGTAAGCAACCTTCTACTACTTATTCTACATGCCGGAAAAGACAATTTCATATTATGCCCAATTTGAAATCGTACATACAGTACAAGTTAATTATCCGATAAATAATACGCGAATTACGAAAAAAGGAGGTACCAGAACGTTTCTTTTGCGGAGATGGTGGATGGATGCGCTGGAGGAGTAAGTCTAGAGTCTCTCCAGCTTTGCCAATGCTTCCATGGCTCCGGCAAAGCTCGACAGACGGCGAATTTCGAGTCCACAGTCCACTTCAACAAGTCTGATTCTTCCAAAACCAACTGTTCGGTGGTTTTTTGCAAAATATAGTTTTGGTCCGTCAAGTATAATTTAATTCGAAATTAGTCCTTTGTCAATTATCACTTGCTAAGAGAAATAGTTACTCCCACAATTTCAATTTATTTGTCTAGTTTTAACTTGATACACAATTTAAGAAAAAGAAATTGAATCTTGTTGACTTAAGCTAAATATATTTAGGGGTCGTTTGGTAGGCCACATTAAAACCAATAGTTCATATATTATGTATGGTATTATTTAGTACTATGTTTGGCAGGAAATTGGGTCTATGTATAACTAATCTATGGATTAATTATACCTCTTACATGGTATAAGGTGTTATATGATGTATTACTAATACCTTCCACTTTGAGGTATTAGTAATACATAAGATATAAGAGAAAATGATCAAAATGGTCCTTAGGGTCGTTTGGTGTAATGGATAAGAGGAATTAGTCCCGTGATAACTTTTTAGTGGTCTTTAATTCATTGTTTGATTGCAAAGATAGGGATAACTTATCCCAAGATTAACAATTAGTCCTGGGATAAGTTATCCCTCACTGGAGGTGGTATAGTAATCTCAAGATAAGTTATCCTGGGATAAGGGGTGTAAATTAACAAAAATACCCCCCTTAAACTCTCTTTTACATTCATACATATTAAGACAATTTTAATAACAATTATAATAATATTCACAACCTTAATTATTCGTTATTTTTATGATAAATGTATTTTTCTATTAAAAATTTACTGTAACATCTCGCAACTTGAAATAGTTAGAAAGAAGCTCAGAACATGAAATAATCATTTTTGGAAAGTATAAGGAAATCTGGAAATTTTTAAGTAATGTAAAGTTGATTTTGGGCCAACTTCAAACGGTCATAACTCCTAGCTCAGGATGAGTTAGGTGTACTTCCAGGTATGGTTGCAAATTTCTTGGAATTATCTTTCCAACGCCGCCGAGTTTGCGTGATTCCGAGTTCGTATGAGTGAATAATGTTAGTTGGAAGTTGGGTTGTTTGAATAAAGAAATGCCCAATCCGGAATTTAAAAGGGTAGTTTGGTATTTTCCTTACCCAATTAATTAAATCCGTTTTTTAGTAAATTAAGTGGGGTCAAGATTGAGTTAGTTCAGTTTACGCTTTTGAGGAATAGAGTTAGGGCTTTTGGAGAAAGAACGCAAGAGAAAAAGCAAGATTTGCCAAGAATGATCGATTTTGGTTGTGGATTCGCCAAGGAATTGATCCTATGTCACGACCCGAGAGCACCCCCAAGTCGTAACATGCGTATTCGACCTCTCGGAGGTCTCATACAAGCCCTTAGCATTCATCACATTAGATATGTAAAATAGTGCGGAATTAAAAACTCTTTAAATAAAATCCCATAAGACTCAAAGGTCACTTTTAAAACATCATTCAAAAGTACACAAGCGGAATACTAAGTCTCTTAGCCATCTTAGACATAAACATGAAAACATACTAGGGACACGGCCCTTTACAATCAAAAGAAGTCTATTAAGTCTATTACAAGAATCTTATCATAAAACTAGAATAGAAAAGTCTTGCCCTCGACATATGAGGACATACCACAAAATCTAGGAAGAACTTCAAATCCCAAGTTACTACAAAACCCGCTCACTTGCCGGAACCTACACTTGTAGAAAATAGAGAAATATGGAATTAGTACAATTAAGTACTAAGTATGATGACCATGCAAAAACATGCCAAAACGGACATTTACAAGGAATAAATGCTTTCATATTATTTTGATAAAACCTTCACTTCACAAGTATAAGAGACATAATACAAGTCAATGTTCACATATAAAACCATAGCCAACAATAGACATACTCAACATATATTCATATACAACACATGCTTAACTTTAAAAGAACACACACCATTTCATTACCGTAGGACCTCTACCTAATATAACCTTAAGACACACTTGAGTGAGACAAGAAGTGACCACCCATACAACCTCTTCAAGCACA